CCCGATAGAAACAAAAAAAACATATAGCAGAGCGTGGTTGAACAAAGAGATTTATGTGTGTATGTGTGTGTAAACATTTGTGTTTCTAACAAAAAGATTTATGACCCCCTCCCACTCGTGGGTAAAAGAACTAAGTGTTGGTAATAACTTAATTTGTCTAACAAAACAATGGATCAATGTCTGTGTATGTACGAGTAACCGGAAGAAAAAAAAAGATCTAGCAGAGCGTGGTTTCGATCCACGGACCTCTGAGTTATGGGCCCAGCACGCTTCCACTGCGCCACTCTGCTAGTCGAATGCAGCCGTGGAAAAAAAACGACAGCTCGCCGGGACTCGAAACCGGTTTGCATGGAAGCCGCTCGCGCGCGGTTATGCGTGGGGAGAGAGTGGAATAATCGAGGTTTGCGGTCATCTATCGCCGCAAAACATCTCCCTCGATGTGAACGGTATAAAATTAGTGTCAAGCATACGAGATTTATTGGTATGACTAGTCCTCACCGTAAGTGTCCCGAGTTATAGAGTTTACGCAATATCCTTGCGATTAGTGGTCTGTATGCGGTCATCTATCGCCGCCAAGCATCTTTCTCTCTCGTTGTGAACGGTATACATTTATTGGCAAGCATACGAGAAGTCCGGAAGCGTTCAAGGATATGTTGTTTTTCAGTTTTTCGCTAAGTGCGTCAGATTGCTCATCCAGCGTCCCGTGGGCGACGCAGGAGGAATAAAAAGGGGGAGCGATCGGGCGTTGGTCGCATCGCGTATCGCGTCTACCGTAGAGGTCTGTTATGATCAGGTCCACTAAGAGAGAACGTATCGACGAGGAGGAAGAGGATATACAGGGTGTTTCTTGGCTGTTGTGACAACTTTTTACCATAGGAAATGGGTTACCGACTGCAACTTTAGTTCACTGAACGGCACGAGAGGGCAGCTGCTTAGATCTCAGGGCTGTTGCAGGCAAGTTGAAAACTTGTTCCACTCACGGACATCACGCGGAGAAAAATAATTTGCTAGCACAGTATACCATATGTAAATTTAAGTAAATTTTGTCTGTTATTTTATAATAAAGTTATTTTCTCTTTTAAGGTCAACTCTGTGTTAAGAACACTAATTTTATTGAAAAATAATTGTGCGAAATATTTAGCTAAAGAAATAAAAGAATTTCTGTTCAGTCAAACGTTCTGCTGTAATGGTGAATAATTTTAATAATGTATAAGAAAGAAATTTTCGTATCGCCATCACATTCTTATCAAATACATATGCAGTATTCAAGTAGCAGCAACAATTTCGCTGCAACAGCAAAATTATTTTTTTCCGTGCGTATCATAGAAAGTATATAATTATAAAATAATGTGTGGTGTTAAAATCATAAACAAAAAGTAAACATAAAAATAAAGAATGTTTTCTTACACGGAAAAGAAAGATTAGCTACCATATAATAACAGCTAACATTTTTGCGTAATAAAGTAATAGCTCTCGCTGCAAAAATGTTAGCTGTTAGTATGTGGTAGCTAATCTTTCTTTTCTGTGTAAGAAAACATTCTTTATTTTTATGTTTACTTTTTGTTTATTATTTTAACACCACACATTATTTTATAATTATATACTTTCTATGATACGCACGGAAAAAAATAATTTTGCTGTTGCAGCGAAATTGTTGCCCACGCACCTGCCGCGCCGGGAGGACACGCTCTCCCACTCGCCTGGGGAGGGACCCCTCATGCCCTCGATGCCTGGCCGGGGGGGCCGGCACGGGGGCGGGGAGTCTGCTGAGTGGTACGACCCGACCGCCAACACTGGCGTCCGCCTAGTGAGAGGTCCACCTCATCTCACTATAATATAACAGAACGGAGGATGGCTTTTATAAGGAGGCGATGTAGGTCGCCAAGTGACTATGGTCACTGGGTTGCTGGGCGAGCAGCGACGTTCAAGAGGGGGCTGCTGCGGCGGCCAATTTTGTGGGTGGAATCCCCGGCATTCTGCCGGGGTATACACTATCGATCTCTCCTGAGATGCACCCCCTCGTGTGGGCCACCTTGTCGTGGTGAGGGGGCTTAAGGCGGGCGTTCGGCCTGGAACCGTCGTGTGCCGCTTCAGGCTCCGGCGGTTCCATTGGCTGGGCGTCCGCTGACTAAGAGCCCACTTGGCCGAGTTACGGCCAGAGTAGGTGGGAGAAGCGATGTCCCATGGACACTTGTCCGGAAGGGCATCGTGGACCT